CGAGGAGGGGGCGAGAAAAAAAAAAGAGAGAGAGAGAGAGAGAGAAAGAAGAGAATAAGACCCTTATCTTATTATAGTTTGAGTTTTGTTATACGTTAGAATAAAATGACACACGTGTATCTTGTGTATATACCGTATACAGTTCGATTATAAATATAAACTTATTTCTGCAAAAAAATGTTTTTTCTTTTCTCTTCTGCCATATAGATAGATAGTATTGAAAAGAAAAACACTTTTATTTTTTTTTTTTTTTCAATAATCATAATATTATTCTTTTTTTTTCAGTGAAATATGAAACATATGTTCCAGTTGAATGAAATGATTTCCTTCGTTTTATAGCGGAAATAAATAATTCAAGTGTATGTATGTGATCAAAGCGAGAAAAAACATGAATAAAGATTGTTGATATCAACAATATATCATAAACGAATTTTTCGCTCTAATTAGCAATAACAATTAATGAAACCAAATATTTACATATTAAATTAGAATAAATCGAGTGAAATATTAACATTCTTATCGGTTTTTTTTTTTCTTCTTCTTCTTCTTCTTCTTTTCTTCAAACGGTATATATCTGATGGATTGAGAAATAAACCATTTTCAAATCGTTTATATGCTTTTTTTTCTATATTGAAAAACAAAAATGGTATGAACACTTTTAGAAAATGAAAGTGATGATAGATAAATTATTGTCGAACAATATGTTTTATACATTGATCATATGAAAGTGTAAGTGGTAAGTCTAAGTAAAAAAGGTGTTTATTTATTAGATTTGAAACAATTAGAAGAATTTTTATTATAATAGAATAGGCAAATAACAGAAGAGTTAATAGTTTTACCATTTTGTAATCTATTGACCTGATAAATATCACCTAAAAATTTTATTTTCTAGATTATTGTAATGTTGTATGAATATGATCAACGGTTGCGAGATGTATCGTACTGAAGAATGTCTTATGCATTTGTTGATGCATATATCATCGTACTAGCAATATCATTAACATCTTGTCAGAAACTTTCTAATTGTACATTTGGTATCAATAACTATTTGCTAAATCAAGCTGTTTATAATCAAATACAATTCAATATATTAAACACAACAGTACTATTAACAGCTAGTTATTATACTGGATCATTACCTATGCCAGATCTAACACAATTAGGACTCATTTATTCTAATTATATTGTACCATTTCCCATTATGCTAGTGTGTCCTAGTGCCCAACAACCTCAATCCTGTCAATATAATAGTGTTTATGTAAATAGTCGACAAGTGTTAACACGTTCAGAGCCGATTACTGTACCTCTAATACCTCTAAACTATACGGGTATTGGTGTTGCCTATTCGTTGTATTTACCAGAAGGACATTCTCAATTAACAAATTGCACTCTAGGACAAAATTTATTTACTGATGAAACATTTTTATTAGATATTGAAATTAAATATGAGCGACTAGTTGGTAATTTCTGTAATCCATTGATTGATACATGTGGTAGTTCTTATCTAACATATTGTTCACCATTAACAGGAACATGTACATGTAATACTTCATCATCAATTCAAGTATCAACATCAATTGGTTCGGTATGTGCCGATACTGTAAATGCTAGTAATTGTGCTATATTTCCTACACGATGTGTTTATTGGTGTAATTCAACTCAAAATAATTTGTGTATATGTCCAAGTGATACCGTTAAAGTACTGAGATCAAATGTATATGTTTGTGAATTGCCATTGAATGGAAATTGTTCACTGTTAGATATACGTCGTTGCCCGCCCACACAATGTTGTGTTTCAACACAATGTATCGATTGTACATTATCAACAGAAACTGTTTTACCCACGACCACAACCGTTTCATCTTCACCTTCTAGATCATTGGATGATCGTTTAAAAATTGCTTTGGGTGTTGTAGCTGGTGTTCTCGGTACTATAGTAATTATTTTAACGATCGCCTTTTGTTGGTTAAAACATCGGCATAAACGCTTATTAAAAATGAATCCAAAATCAACGTTATTGTCAACTGTTTCCTCGTCTACACCATCCTCATTATATACTTTACCGACATCCGCGCAACACTCCTTTGATCGTTTTAATATTTATCAACCGAATAATACTACAGTTGAGGAAGGTATATATAGCTTATCGAATGTGCCCGATGAACAAACTGTTCCTCGTAGATTATTTGATCGCATGTCAGATAATTCATCTGTAATGAACAATGAATATTCATCATCAATACAAATTAAGAGAATGAAAAATCGAAATCTACCTTATCGAACAGATTCATTTCGAAAAGCTGTCGGTGCCGTTGACTACTCGCTTCGTCAACCGTCATACGAAGAACGAGTATCAAATAATGTAGAAAATATTACAAATAATTATCGATCAATCACTCCGTCAAATCAAAGAAATACCTATCATCAAATTATACCTTATGCAGAACAGTATTTATCATCTCGAGCGAGTTATGTCTTATAAGATGAGTTTTCTCTTTGTTTTCTCTCTGTTGTTAAAGAATATAGCAGTGAATATCAACGATTACGTTCTAGCGCTTTAAGCCTCAATCTTTCAGTTAATTTTTGTCAAAACTATCTATTTTTTTCGGAAAGTACTTTGTCTGATAACCCATAGGACGAAAGTCAAAGTCTTGTCACAAAATGTTCGTTCACTTTCAGAACACTTATTAGCAACTGTTGAGAGTTAAAAGCAGTCAGTTAGAATCAGAAGTTTGTGCTCTTTTCGAATATATGTTCAGATATCTTTTCTAGCTTAATGTTGATTAACTGTGAGCAAATGTTTGAAAGAGACAAAAATGAAGTGTGCACAGAGAAAAATAGGAGTTTTTGCGTAGTCTGTAGCTTGTGCAGGTTATATTTGGAGGCAGTTTGAAATCGGTATTATTGTAGAGCATTTAATTCTCTACAAAATGAGATATTACAGTGGCTAATAACTCAAGAGAATGCTTTTGACTCTCAACAGTTGCGAATAAGTATTTTGAAAGTGAACGAACATTTGGTGCCAAGGCTTTCGTGCCACACATGATAGCCCATGGGTTAGACTAAAGTGTTCTACTTTCAAATGTAGTAAATTCTGCCTTTAAAAATGTTTTTTTGGAAAGTTTTCGACAAGTCCTATACGAAAGAAAAAAATAATTTTTCCAGTGTATCATTGAAAAAATGATATTGTCAGACCAATAGTACTTATCAAAAAAACATTTTCGTTTTCTAACGCAATGATTAAATACCAGGATTAAGCGGAGATATCTTGTTAGAGAATGTTTCCTGAAATCTTTTGATTTCGCCCAAACTGGTTCAAATTCATTTTTTGGAAGAATCAAACGAAGATACGCGATCAATTTCGATCTTTCTTAAGGGTCTCGTCAGGTGATTCATTGTCAAAATGATAACTTTCATACGATGAGAACGGAGTACGATATCGATGGTCCCTTCACATATTTTGCATAAAAATAGTACCAGCCATACGGTTGGGACGGAGTTGTGTTGCTTGTCATACCTTAACTCTGTCTTTCTCAAAGGAAGCCACCTGACGAGACCCTTGAGAAAGAGCCAAACCGATCGTGATAACTTCTTTTGATTCTTCCAAAAAATGAATTCTGTTTCAGTCTCTAGTAATTGATAAGCGGTTGTAAAATTAAATTAAAACAGTATCAAGTCGAGTTTCACATTCATATTTATGAATCAGCAGTAGTTTTCCTAGTGAACGTACTTGCGAGTGGATTGCTTATTTGCAGATTTCTGCGGGTACTTAACATGCATTACAGGAACTTTACAGGCATTTTCCAAAAATACTATTTGATAAGTGTTTGAGCAAATACTTGCGGAAATGAAAAGTAAACAAATACTTGAAAAGTGTTTCCTGTACTTGACAAGTACTTATTCTTTTTTAGAACAACATCAAGTACTTGCAAACATAATGGTGTGTGCTCAGCATCAGATTGACGACTAATATCTATAGCTCAGGGTTTATATCCTCTAAAAAAAGGATTACTATCAAACCTTTAGGTTTTTCGTGTTTTTGCAATAAACCTTTTATGAAATACGATTTCATGGGCTGTTGACGCAATACAGGTAGCGTATGAAACTCGAACAATAACTTCTTCCCGAAAAGATTCCGAGTTGCTTTTACTAAAACATCAAAAAGATTTAGCATAAAAAATTTTTTATAACAACTTTTATTTTTTTCAAAGTGACCGTACATTTATCTTTCAAAATACTTAGTGACCAGTGTTTTCGATAGTAGTTTTGGTGAGGGGGTGGAGAGCCTGCTGAGTAACAAAAGTTTTTTTATTGAGTAACGCATTTATTGACTAAACATTTTTTACTAAACATTACTCAGAAAAAAATGAGTTACTAAGAAGCTAGAGAAAATCACTTACTCAGGTGCATAAAGGGCAGTTTCTCAACTTAAATTTCTGAAAAAATTTCTGAGTAAGTCAGAATTTGTTGAGTAGCTGTATTCAAACGAGGGGGTGGTTTGCCACCCCCTAATCGATAACGCTGTTAGTGACTCTTGTAGTCGAATGGTGAATCGCAAATACCATAGGAAACCTAAAGAGTGTAGAAATTATTAGAATTCTCTATACTCTTTTAGGTTTTATAGTAAACCTTTTTTTTGGAGAGTGCTGGTCAGATTTGGTCGACTTCATCTGATAATAGTTGAGCAAATGGAAATAACACGAATGATCACACTCCTTACACAGCCGCGATTATATGAGTAACGCTTTACGAGCACATTCATCAGAATTGTTTCTTACGCACTCGCTATGTCAACATAAAAATCAAACAATAGAAGAAACATTATTCTGCTAAGACACACATATTATTTGTCATGTACTCCCAAGTACTTCAAGTACTCGTAGAATTTATTCAAGACTAGCCCTTGCCAAGTGCATTATTTACTTGTCAAACTTTCCTCAAGTACTTGCGGGTTACTTGAGCAAGTACTTAGCCAAGTGCTTGGAAGCAGATCAAGTACTTGATTCAGTTGCGAAAAAAGCCAAGAAACTTGGACAAAACTTGCGAGGGTACTTGGGCAAGTACATTCACTACGGTTCGGTCTATTCTCTTTTCAAGGAAATTTTATGGTTGTTTTTTCTAATTAAACCTGAATTAAAGCACTCTTCTTTCTCCGAGTGACCAATTTGATCATATTGTAATAGTTTTCTCTTGAGCAAAACTAGTATAAAACTGAATGAGAAGAGGTGAAAACAGCAATCGTTTACACACTGAACCGAAATTATACGATCCGACCGTAAATACAAAATAGTAAGAATGCAGCTGTACGTCTTTTATCTAAATTCTTAGAAAAAACATCTTTTCACTTTAAACTGGAAAGTAATGCTGACAAAACCCAATATTATTCTCAAAATATAGAATATTCATGAACAATTTCGAAATTTCGTTGACAATTAAATAAATTATAGCGCGTAAAATCTATGTTTTCGGAAAGAATTCATTTAGCTCCGTTAAAATTGTGTATAAATAAAAAAAGTTATGGATGAGTGTCGATTTGATTTCAAACCGTGGTCCTGAGGACCAGTCGTAATGCTATTGTCTCATAACGAATGTGATACATTTGTTGGTCTGACATCGCGGCTCACCCGACGACATACAATTAATATATTCCTTTTATTTTTGTCGAAATTGACGTTGTGCAATCATTCGACAGAACATGCAAAACTTGTGCATTTTTCTTGTTAATGAGTATGTCACTAGTTGATAATCAGTTCGGTCTGAAAAGCTGAATCAGTTCTGCAGTTTGATCAGAGCTGAATCAGACTTCATTAAAATGTATCTGTTGATTCGAAGACGAAAATTCTCAGCAGCTCATTCAGCTCTAGCGGCAGAATCAAAAGTGACTTTTCTGAACAAGGCAACCTCACAAATTTCACAGCTCATTCCGGTCAGTTTTTTCAGCTCTGAATCACTTATTAGAAAAAACAGCTTCATGTCAATAACAAATGCTAAAGAATATTTAGAATTGTAAGGTGCACGCAAAGCAAAATTTTAGCAAAATTTTTTTTCCGATAAAAGACACATATTCGGATTTGCCAGAGCATACTGATCACGAATATGACCTTGAAAGTTGAAAAAAACCTTTTTTTCGGGGAGAAAAATGCAAAATACTGAAAAGGTCCAGAAACTTCGAAAATTCTTGGCCTTTCGAAAAACACTCATAACTTTTTATAGAAAGTAGCTACAGGCTCAAACTTTTTATTGTTCGATTCCTCGTCGAAAACTGGGTATATCCATACCAGTTTCAGACTCTTAGACCGTAATTTGAGATTTTGGCGCTGCTCGCGATAGAAAACCCTGAAAAATGAGACCCCTCCGCCAAAAACCTATCTAGTTTTTTTGGTGAGGAGCTAACTCATTGAATTTTATGCCATTCGATAG